GGGCCCTGTTTTGTTTGTTATCTACATAAATGATCTTCCTGACAGCCTTTCATCTAAAGTAGCTCTTTTTGCTGATGACTCAACTTTATACTCCTGTCTTGACAAAAAGTCTTCTCTTTTCGATCGCCTAGAACAAGCAGCTGATCTTGAATCTGATCTCACTTCAGTAATAGATTGGGGTTCACAGTGGCTTGTGAATTTCAACTCTAAAAAAACCCAATTGCTTACTGCAAACAACTACTGTAATATGGTCAACATTCCTATATTAATAAATGGCAATCCTCTTACTGAGTCCTCCTCTTTACGTCTTCTTGGATTATCGGTTACTACTGACCTTTCATGGAAACCATATATACAATCGATTGCTAAATTAGCTTCTGCTAAGGTTGCTTCTCTTTATCGTGCTCGCCATTTCCTTACTTCTGATTCCATTCTCTACCTCTACAAATCTCTTATTCGTCCCTGTATGGAATACTGTTGTCATATTTGGGCTGGTTCTTCTAACGATTCACTTTCTCTTCTTGACAAGGTTCAAAAACGCATTGTAAATGTTGTTGGACCTGGACTATCTGCTAAGCTTGAACCTCTTTCCCATCGTCGTAAAGTTGCATCTCTTTCTCTTTTCTACAAATACTATCATGGTCACTGCTCAAAGGAGTTATCATCTCTAGTTCCATCAACTAAAATTCATTCTCGTTTTACTCGTCATTCAGCTAAGCCTCATTCATTTACTGTATCTGTCCCTGCATGCTCTAAAAACTTTTATTCATCTAGTTTTTTTCCCCGCACTTCAATCCTTTGGAACTCTCTCCCATCTTCATGTTTTCCTGACTCATACAACCTTCAACTTTTCAAGTCTTCTGTCAACCGTTTCCTTGCTCTATATTCTGTTCTTTTTTTTTCCTAGTAACTCCCAACTTAATAGTGGTTCTCTGCAGCCTTGTTGGGAGTGAATGCAAATAAAAAAAAAAAAAAAAAAACTGAGCGCTCATACAGTGTCAATACATTTCATGGAAGCTCTTAGTAAGCTTCATGTCATCCAAATGTTTTCACATCAGTAAATCTTTCATAAATTGTATAAAAAATGTTTTGCAAGCTTGTTATCAAATATTTTTGTTATCAAATATAAATTTAAAGTTTGAGCTTAAGGTCAAAGTAATTTGTTTTGGAAACATCTTAAGCTGCTCTAAATATATATTTAATACAAATTGTATTAGGCAACTCTAGAAGCGGACAGCAAATACTTAGTCAGAAATATTTTGTCAAAAGTGCTACTAAAAATGAAATGTCAAATTATGAAAAATCTACATTTAATTATAAACTTGGTAATTATAAAGACATAAACAATGCTATCAATGAAAATCACTGGGAAGGTCTTGAAAGTAATAGTTTTATTGAGTGTTATTAAATATTCCAAAATATCTATAATGAATGCCAAAAATACATTCCTAAAAAAAATAAATACTTTAATTAAAAAATACAACTCAAAACTTGGATTGATAGAGAAGCCAAAAAAGCAATTAAAGACAAAACAAGTTTGTGGCGCAAATTATTCTCTAATGGTTTTAAATGTGACCAGCTGAAAGTCCAATATATTTCAATCAAAACAGTTAGAAAACTAGTTGAATCAAAAAGAATAAATTATGAAAAAAAAAAAAGCAAAAAAAAAAAAGAGTCATCAAAAGAAAATCCAAAACTATTTTATGCTTATGTATTTTCACACAAAAAAAATAATATTGGGTATGAAAATGATAATGGATAAAAATGGTTCTTTACATAGAAATTGTGATGATATTGCTAATCTCTCAATGAAAATTTTCATAATGTATTTGTTATAGAAGATCCATCAAATTTTCCTAATATTTCAGTAAAAACAAGTAAGACTTTAGTATTAGATATTGACTCAGCAATAACTCAAATTATTAGGAGTAAACTTAGTGAACTAAATTTCATCAAAGCATTCAGTGCAGTTAATGTAAGTTCATACATGTTAAAAAAAATCAAAAAAGTTTTTGCAAACCTCTAGAGTTCAATTCAAACCCTAAAAAGAAGATTTACACAAAAAATTCCACTCAAATGGAAAATAGTAAATGTAACACCACTGTACAAGAAAGGAGATGAAAATAATCCAGCAAACTATAGACCAATTTCATTAACGTCTATACTATGCAAAATTCTTGAATCAATCTTAAGTGACAAAATTATGGAATGTTAACAAACAATTTATTAAATAGTAACCAACATGATTTTCGAAAGAACAAAAGCTACTTGAAACACAAATCTACTTGAAACACAAGAAATTTTGTTTGATGCTATTGAGAATAAATGGTGTGTTGATATGTTGTATAGAGATTTCTCAAAAGCATTTGATAAAGTACCTCATATGCATTTAATAATAAAGTTAATATCATATGGTATTGTCTGAATAATATTTAATCGGATAGTAGACTATTTATATAACAGAAAGCCTAAGTAATGTTAGAGAAATGTTTATCAAAATGGTTAAAAGTTGTAAGTGGAGTTCCACAGGGTTCTGTCTGTGGGCTTCTTCTATTTTTGATTTTTATTAAGGATCAACCAGACACAGTAAAAAATCATATTAAACTACATGCAGATTATTGCAAAGTTATAAATATTATTAAATCAGATGAAGATATACACATAAATAAATTACAAGATATCAGTAATATTATGAATTGGTCTAAATTATGATTATTGAAATTCAATTATGAAAAATGTAAAATTATGCACATTAAAAATGCACTTTAAAAATCCATGTATAACTTTTTCAATGCTCAACACTGAAACCCAACAGAATAATATCTTAGCAACATCAAAAGTAGAACGGGATTTAGGAGTAATGATGCAATCTAATTTTTTAATCTAAAAATTAAATCAAATACTTGTTCTAATTAGCCTAACTTAAATAAATGCCATTTGAAAGAAGACTACAGTTAATGAAATTAACGTCACTAAAAGAGCGTTTTTTACGCGATTTAATTTTTCCAATATAAAATACAAAAAGGTTATGAGGAGATTTATTGGATAGGCGACTCAATATGTAAAGTTCAATTAAAATATCACAATTTTTGTGGTCATAACCATAAGTTAACAAAGGCTCTAAAGTCTGTAGGAGTAATGCTAGAGTTAATGTAGAGTTGTAGAAACTTGGTTTACTGCCATATATTATAGAATCAATAACAATTGATCAATTAAAAAATAAATTTTATCAATCAAACTATTGCAAAAATTATTTATTAAATAACACTAAATAAAGAATATATACATTAAAAATAAACAATGCTATTATAAAAACATTTATAGCTGTTATAGCACAACATCTTCTGTTTTTTGTGCTCTGCAACTGATTTCGTCAATTGTCACTTTATATTGTTATTAATTATATGCTGACTCGGTAAGTTTAGTTCTTTTGATAATGGCTGCTAGAGGATGTCAAAATTTTCTTGATATGTTTTGCTATGCATGTGGGTATTATATTGACAAAAGCAGGTATTACCTAAGTTCTTTAAATACCCCATATGGTAGATAACATACGCAAAATATTTTTGAATGCACATGTGTGATCAGGGCAGACTATGGATCCTTTATGTGATATGTGGAACCTGCTGGACTACTATAACAGGGCGTTTACAACGAAAGGCAATGTCTTTGGCTATTCCCAGAGTATGAAAATACTGAAAAGCTCTTCTTTATTCAGGTATACTATCTGCACTTGTCCCACATGATAAAAGTCTACCAGTACCACAACCACCACAAAATGCATTTTTTTTATCAAACTTTCCAAAAGTCATATTTAATTTAATTAAAGTTGAAGTATTTACTATGCATTTATTTTTTAATGAACTTTTGAATGCTACTGTAATTTATGTCAATGTTTAAGTTGTTATATGCTGTGTTTCATTCTTTTATAAAGGAAATGCAATGAATCTCATAATATATCATGAGTCAGTAAGTCTTAGAATATCCAGAGTCAGCAAGCAACAGAAGTGAAGACAAGGAGGAAGTTTTTGTACCAAAAATGGTTTGACAGACTCGTTCTCCTAATTAGAGTGATTAAGTCAGAGATTTAGGACTTACTAAATCAGTTGCTGAACTTCTTTTATCAAGGCTGATGGAATGGAATCTACTAGGCAATGATAGCAGGGCATGTGTGTACAGGAAACAACATAAAGAATTTGAAGATTACTATGACTTGTGTAACAATCTATGTTATTGTAAAGATATGACTAATTTGTTTACTTCACTTAGACTTGAGCATGACCCTGTACAAAAGACACAAAAAAAGTATTCACTCAAAAAATTACAATCAAGTTTTTAGAATTTAATACAAACAAAATTACTCTGTTGTTTGATGCTAACAGCTTGTCACCTTTGTTAAAAAATGGATATTATAGATCAAAGTTGGAGTGGCAATGGGCTGAATGTACAGAAGCTTCAAAAATTAAATTAAAAAAATAAGACAGGCAAATGAGTCTGAGCTTTTTGGGTAAACAAAATTAGGTCTCATTGATTTATCAGAATTTATGTTCTATAGTTTTAACTCTTTCAATAATGATAGTAGTAACATCCAAATCAATGTTACCATAAAATTAGCAGAGAAAATCACGTAGTGATTACCTTTCATTATTAAAACATCGAGAAATTTGATATCGAAATTGGGTTATTCGTACAACTATTAATATTTTTAATAACTTATATAATTTTGTTTTCAGCTTTTTGATTATTAATTTTGCTTTAATTTATTTTTTATAAAATTCTTTAAATAAAATTATTACATGCTTTAGATAAATGTAGCAAATGAGAATATTGAACATTGTTTGAATTTTTATAAAGCAATTATTCCAATCAATTCCATTGATGAATTTATATATTGAATGATATTATCAGTTTTTTTTTTAATTATAAATCTTATGGTTTTCATAGTTTATTTATTTTTGATATGTATGATTGTTTTTAGTTATAAGAATTTTTTTTTTTAGGTTGTTGTTATCGGTGATCAGTCTGCTGGTAAAACAAGTGTTTTAGAAATGATAGCACGTGCCAGAATATTTCCACGTGGAGCAGGGAAAATGATGACGCGTTGTCCAATTATGGTGACATTAACAGAAGGTGCAAATCATGTTGCATATTTCAAAGGAAGTGATCACGAGTATGATTTGTCTAATGAGGCAGATGTATGTTTAATAAATTTTACGAGATTTTTTTTTATTAGATGGAGATAGTGTTTAAAAGTTTTTTAATTTTTAAACATTTATCACAAATTTGTTATAATTTTTTTTAGTATCTTAAAGTCAACTCTAATAATATAATAAATTAAAAAATTTTAACATTATTATTTTAATAAACAAGCAAACAAAAAATCAGAAAATATTTAAATTTTGAATTTATAGACTTTAGATTATCATAATAACAAATTTGATTTTTTCAAAATAATTTTTGTAAAGAATTATTAGTTCTTGTTATTTCCTTTAATTTGTACACAATAACAATTTTTTTTAGTTGCATAAACTTCGTCTTGAAGTTGAAGGCAGGATGAACAAAAAACTTAAAGGAAATAATACCATTAGTACAGAGGTTTTTTTTTTTTTTTTTTGATCTTTTTGTTTATTTTATGGTCATCTTTTATTGTATTCAGTTACGTTTATTTTTGTTGCAATAAGTAAATGTTCTTTTTTTGTATAGATTTTGTCCATGTATGTAAAAGGTCCTGGTCTACCGAGAATGGTACTTGTTGATTTACCTGGAATAATAAGTGTAAGTTATCAGAAATAATTTTTCTGTTGTTTATAAAAACATCTTAAGCAATAGAGTGCAGCTATAAAACAAAATTTTTTTATCAATCTGGCAAATTTTTTTGTTTATTTGCATAAGTGTACTGTTTTGTTAATCATTCATTAATCACTCTATTATCAAGTCATATATTTATGTTATTTGTTGATAAATCATGCAGTTATCAAGTCTGATGTTTATGTTTAAATTCATTAAAATAGCGTTTTTTGATAGTGTATACATATCCTGGTCCCTGGTAGTACAGCACTTAACTTTTTTCCTACCTTATAGTCAATTTGCATGTGCGAATATTCATATACTTGCAAAACTAAAATGAAGGTTTTAATGTGCATTACTCTTGAGTATTAGGCAACACTAGTATCATGCATTTTTAGGAAAGTGGAAAATTAGGCTGTAGCAGAACATTTAAAAAAATATAATATTGCTTTTGGTTAAAATCAAAACAACATAATTGAAATTGATTATTTTAAAATAAAAAAAAGAGTTGTTGAAGATCCAACATAGCTAGTATTCTTAAAACAAAGATAAATTCCTTTATATATTAAAAAAGCTTGAATATTGTATGTATGTAAAGGGTATGTATGACCTTTATGAAAAATTATACTTGTTCAATATACTTGAAGAAATTCAATAAAAGTTCATTTTAATGTTTACTTTAGACTGAAACAACAGATATGGCTGCTAACACAAAAGAATCTATTACAAAAATGAGCAGGTATAAAGCATTAGTTCCTTTCTTCATGACTTTTATTTGAATAATGCAAAAAAAAAAAAATCACTTTGAGCAAAATATATTGATTCTGCTGCTGCAAAGTATATTGATTCTGCAAAATATATTGATTCTGATGCTTTAGTAAAATAAAAGAATCTCTTTACAAAAAAGATTTTTTCTTTTCTTTACTTTTTACATTTGTTATATAAGTTAAGAGTTTATATTTTATTCTAAATGCAGAGTTTAGTAAATGCGCAAATGTGTGATGTGTGGAAAATTGAATTGACTAAATAAAAAAAAAAAAAAGATTCTTAATTTTAAATTTAGTTTTTTTAACTACAGTTTTTTCTTTTTCATACTGGTCTTTATTGTAAGTTGTTGGCATGCATGTATCAAGAAAATGTTTTAAATAATTTTTTATTTGTAAGTTTTCTCTCTGATTACACTGATTGCAGTGTAAATAATTTCCTTGCCAAGCCATACCTAATTTTCATATTATTTCAAAATGAAAAAAAAAAGAAAATTCAGCTAATATTTTTTTTTATTAAAAATGATTCATTACATTCAAAAATATATTCTGCAGAATAAATAACCTTACTTTTAAAAAATCTCTATTTCATTTGCATAATTTTGCAAATTTTTTTTTTTTTGTTTTTAAATTCACTTAACAAGCAATAAAATTAACTTCATGGATATTTAAATTTAACACAGTGTGTTTTGATGTTGGTTCATGCAACAGATATTCAGGGACAGCTAGTAAGTTACTGGGATTGATATTGGACCGGGGTCGGGTTTGATAAAATATAGCCAGGGCTGGAACTGTGACCGGGGCTGCATAAACATTTATACATCCTTAAGTATATTTTTTAAATTAGGCAGTCGCTTTTGTAAACATTAATCATTTTTTTAATCTTTTTTACAAGAACAACTCTCTTTAGAACAAATATTCTTTTATTATTGCAAGAAGCCAATTTTAAAAATTCCTGTCTGATGTTAAGCTCTGTTATTCTCATTTTACTAAATCTTGTATCTTATCTCAGATGTTAGGTTCTAGAGATGTTTTGGTTATTCTTCAACAATGTCATTAACTAAAGTAAGTCTAATATTAAATCTCTTATTCATGGGTTTGATCTTTTTACTTCTCCCCAGAATAAAGCAGAGTTGTTTGCAAAAGAATCTTACTCTAATTTGACTCTTGAATATAATGGCCATACTCTTCCTGACAGTTATACAGATTAACCCATTGTTAAACATCACAATCACTCTGCTTTCAATGCTAAAGTTAATTCTCATTTAAACATTTTTACAGTTTATGCTCTAGAATTGATTTCCATCATATTCTTAAAAATGTGTTCTCCAGAACTCTTCAGTTTTTGCTAAACTTTTAAAAAGTGCTCAATAAGTGGTTCCAGTTTTTCAAAACTCTAGAAAACACTTTGACCTCTCCAACTATCCTACGGTTAGTCTTCACTCTGTTATTAGTTACTTTATATAAAGGTTTTGAGATTATTAAATTATTTCTTTTTAACTGCTGTAGTAAAGTTATTCTTGAAGACCTACCCTCTTCTTTATTTCAAGTAACTTTAAGGGTACCACAAGGTTCTATCTTTGCGCTTGTATTGTTTCTTATCTGTAATAACAATCTTCATGAAATCTAAAGAGGCTCTATTTGCTGACGACTCGTCTGACTCATCTAACTGACAACTCACTTTATACTCTTGTCTAGACTAAAAATCATCACTTTTTAATTACTTATAACAAGCAGCCAATTTTAAATCTGATTTCTCTTCTGTAACAGCGTAAGGCTTCTAGTAGCTTATGGATTTAAATTCTGGACTTTAAATCTACAATTTTTGTTAGACAACAAAAGTCATTTATTTACTGCAATAAAATATTGCAATATTGTTGGCATTCCTATATTGATGAATAACAGCCATCTTACTCTCAGACAAAGTCTATAAGCACATTGTAAATGTAATTAGACCTGCTTTATCTGCCAAGCTTGAGCCACTCTCCCATTGTTGTAAGATTGCATTTCTATTTTCTACAAATACAATCATGGTCAATGCTCAAATGTGTAATCTTCTCTATAATGATAAACCAAAACTTGTTTTTACTTGGCTTTTTATTCAACAAGTTGCATCCTTATACTGTATCTCTCTCTCTCCATGCTATAAAAACTTTTACTAATCCAGTTTTATTCCTTGAACATCAAAAAAAAAAAAAAACATTATAACTCTTACACACCTTCATGTTTTCTTTTTTTATACATCTTTTATATATCTTTTTAATATATAACTAAAAACTTTTTAAGTCTTCAGTTAAATGTTTCTTAGTATTTTAACTTATTCTCTATTTTAAAGTAACTCATAACTTAATAATAGTTGCTTGCAATCTTGTTGGAAGTAAATTAGAGTTTAAAAATATATAAATGCAATCATTTATTAAATAGTAAATCTAAGCATTTTAATTTATTTGATAGCACATGCCAGAATATTTCCACGCGGAGCTAGAAAATAATTAAGTATTACTTCTTTTCTAGCTCCGTGCCAGAGTTGGGTTTGCAAAAATTCTCATTTTTAGCCGGGGCCGGGGACCCAATCACTTAATAAGCACAGAAGATTTTATTTTTATGTATCATTATTTTGAATATGCAAATCAGGTGCATATAAAAGATGATACAACAGGTTTAATTTTTTTTTTTTTTATGTGATCACATTTTTATATAAAATTTTTGAGAAAAATGAACTTTGGCTTTTTTTTGAAAATAAAACTTTATTGCTAACCTTTGTTAAGATCTTCAGGAAACATACTTAATGGAAGAGTAAACAATTAATGACTTTAAACCCACTTATGAAGTTTTGAGTCATAGGTTACCATGGGTACATGTCTAATAGCAGTTTTCTAACAAAATGTTCTAAATTTTGATGAGTTAATATCATAACCATGTGGTGACTAGAATAATATGAAGCCTTTTTCACAAGATCTGAATCATGATTATCCTATCAACTAAGACTTGAATTATATTGTTAAAAAAAATGTCTAGCTGTGTAATCATTGTTTATTGTATCTGCTCCACTTAATTTTCTCTAAGTTCAGCTTGGACATCAACCTTCCTCGATTTAACAGTGATTTTGTCTTTAAATTTAGCCTGCTATTTAATTGGCATTTTGTAATAGATATGCAGCATACATTTTAAAAACGTTTTGACATCTTTAAACTTTATTTATTTTAAATTTGCTAGTAGCAAATCTAAGTTTTTTTAACTGGTTCTTACTCAAGAGCTTAGAAACTGTGATTTTTTATTTGCACAGGCCATCTTCAAACAAAAATAGCATGTCCACCTTAAATTATATCAATTTAGCTATATAATAAAAATAATAATAGTAACAAAATTATTATGAATTATAATAACTTTTTTATATCAGTAAAGTTAATATACCAAATGTTTTTGTCTCAAGTTATTGTTTTTTTTCAGTTAAGTTTCTAAGGAAATTACTATTTTCAAATTCTTAATTTTTTCTACTTTTTTTGAGTTGATGAATTTTAAAATAATTCCAAATTATTATTAGATTCTTTAAAGCTTCTTCCTAAAATATGAACCTTTATCTGCATGTATAAATCATTTCATAAAATATGAACCTTTATCTGCATGTATAAATCATTTCATAAAATATGAACCTTTATCTGCATGTATAAATCATTTCATAAAATATGAACCTTTATCTGCATGTATAAATCATTTCATAAAATATGAACCTTTATCTGCATGTATAAATCATTTCATAAGACATCTTATATTCATTTTTTAAATGATTGTCTATTGATAATAAAATTTTTAAATTGAACTTTGGATATAATTTAAATGGTTAAAAAATTTTTTTTAATAAAGTGTTAAATCTTTGCCTTTTAAAAATTCCAATCAAAATATTTGCTGCCTTATCTTTATACTTGTTAGTTGTTATAACATTTTTTATTGATTAAATTTAATTTTTTTGAAAATTATAAAATGAATTATAAATAAATATTTTTTTTGTAACGTTGTTTAAGTAGAATTTCATTTTTTTTTTTTAAACAGTTTCAGAGCTTTTATTAGTATTATTAAAAATGGTTTTATTACAATTCAAATGTTTGTTGAGAAAATTTTCTGAAGTAACTACAAAGCAACAAAACAAAAAAATACTTGAATAATAATGCATACGATTTGCTTTCTTTTATTTTTTTAATCTAAATTATTCAAGTTTTTTAAAGGTAAAAAATAAGTTTGCAGTTCTTTAAAATAAGAAATAAAAGTTTTAAAAATGTATACCAATATAAAATATTACAAGGCAATATATATTTAAAAAATGCGAATTTCTTGCAGATTTTTTTTTAAATAAATTGTATATTCTGGCTTATAAATATGCTGAGGAATGGTTGCCATTTTCTAAATTTTTAACATTCAGAAATTTTTTGTATGGTTTTGTCACACTTTAACACGCAACCGATTGTAGAAGATATTATAATTTATTGATACAGTTGTGTAAGATTCAAGTTTTTGGGAGCTATATAGCTATAAGACCTCACTAATAAAGACTAATAAAGGCTAAGTATGATAGCATACTAAATGAGTCTTTCTTTTTCTACTTATTTTCTTGAAAGTAAATTTTATTGAAAAATTATCTTTTGCTGTTTCATTGCTTATAAATCTATTCTCTACGTATATAAGTTTTATATTTGAAAGGATAACTAAAATTATCCTTTGGTTTTCAACTTAAGATAAATTTTATTTTTTAAAGTTCTATATTCTATTGGACTAAAATATCTTTTTATAATTTATATATATGTGTTCTGTTATCAAAGTGTTGCAAGTTGTTTACTGCTTTGGCTTTATTGAAGGTCTATTGAATTTTTTTCTCTATTAACTTAAAAACATCTTTTATGTAGAAGTGCAAAAATTAATAAATAAAGTCTAGGAAAAGGCTATATATAAAAAAGAAAAGTAAGAAAAATGTAGGTAAAAAATATGTAATTATTAGGGAAAAAAAGGAAGAAAAAAAAGGTAATTATATAGAAGTAGAATAAGTTTCTATGGTGTATGGTTGCAATGGCCATGTGGAGAAAGGTTTTTTTTTATTTTTTAAATATGATATAATAATGTGTTTAATAATACATTTTTACTTTTTTTATTAGGCATTACATGTCTAATCCCAATGCCATTATCCTCTGTGTTCAAGGTATGTTTTATCTCTGTAATCTCGTGATTTTGTGTATGCATGCATGCATGTGTGTTTTTTCATGCATGTATATTTGTGTGTGTAATATATTATATAATTTGTATATAATTTTTGTATGTGAGTGTGTGTGTATATAAGGATTGTGACTTTTTTTTTGAACTTCTTATACTTTTATATGCTGTAAAAATTGTTGATAATGAAAAAAATAGTTTTATGCACAGTTTGGTTGCAAAAATGCTTCTATTCAAAGTTCGTTTTTATTATTTAAATCAATCCATACGTTTAAATTTGGTAATGTAATTTAATAAAAATTTAATACTGAGAGCTTACTTAAGAGTCCTAATAAGTAACTACCAAAAATAATTAATATTGAGTTATATATTTTATTTAATTTGAAATAGCATTGCATATAAGTTTATTAAAAACAAAATAACTTATAGCACTTTCTTGCCAGTTTTTTTTTTTAATTAATTTAAAGTAAGCATGTTTTTTCTGTCAATGTATTTAGCATATAGTCATATTATTTATTATCAAAAAATTGCTTGCTGAATCAAAGTTTTTGCCACTGATTTTGCAATAAATGTTGTAGTTTCAAGTTCAAACCTCCATTCAGGTATAGAAAAAAAGATAATAAGAACATATTATGCTTATTTTTATCTTACACTTACAATGTTTATGCTAAACAACTTTGAAGTTTATGCTACTGAGTTTTTGAAAATTTGTCATGACTTTTAAAATAAAAAAGGTTTCACTTTTCATTACATTTATTTAAAATCAATTAGAAATTTTCTTCAAGCTTTAAAATGATTTCGTACTTTTGCATTGCACAATTTCTAAATTTTATGATTCTTATTAATTAGTACATTAGAATTATGTAAATCCTTTAAAAAACTCTGTGGTAAGTAAATTTATTATTCAAACCACATATTTTCACAACTGAAAAAATTATTTAGAATAATGGTGTTAATATTAACCTCCCAACTAGAAGTATAATGGCAAAACAATAAATTTTTTTGTTGATATCGCAGTGATTAATTTGTTTTCGTAATTTTGATAAAATTAAATTTTATTTTCTAATGTTTATTTACAAAATAAACATAATTCTCGGCAATTGGGAATCTCTTTAAGAAGCAAATAATAGTGGTTTATGAAACTTTAATCCAAAAATGAGCAAATATTTGCATAATTTCTTGTCTAAGGATTGAAATGCCATTGATAATAGGAAACATTGTCAATAGCATTTATAATTATGTTAATTAAATAAGTATGGTACTTGCACTTACACACAACAATTAAATAGCTTCCTGATCCATAAGCTGAAAACAGAATGTTGTGTGTGTTGTGAGTGAGGTAAAGAAAAGTGGATGATTTAAGATTTTTAATATATATGGCACAGTAGCTAATGATTTTTTACAGCCTTTACTGTCAACTTTCTCTCAAATTCTCTAACCCACTTTTTAAACAACCTTCAAATCTTCATTCGACGGTTTGTTTTTCCATACAACAGGTTTGTTTATCAAGATTCCTGTTTCAGACTTATAGAGTTAAGAAAGGGGTATAACCACAATTAAAGTAGTCTCCTTTATCTAAAAAAAAAGAGTTTGATTGGTTTCCTAACAATGAGCATTGGGATTTTTTCTGCACAGATTTTAGTTGAATATGTATTTTTACCTTTCAAATACATACTCAACTGAGTTAAATATAGCAGAGGACTTGTACATTATTGTTGTACATTATTGTCTCTAAAGGAGCTATAGCTGTTCATTTACAATATTGTAAGCTTGATAACCCTTTAAGCAAAAAAAGAAGAGCAATTTGAAAATCATTATTTATCATTATTTTTGTTTTTTATTTGCTCTTAAAGAATCTTTTACTCCAGCTTTTTAATTAAACTTTAAACATATAAAAACAAAATGAATTGGTTGTTAAATAATTGCATATAGGTGATGGAATGGTAATGAGAGTTCCATTCATATCATTTTTCCTTTGACAATTGAATTTATAAATATTATATATAGTTAATATAATGTAAAAATATTATATAGAACTTTCCAAATATTTGTGAATTCTAATGTATCATAAAATAATTAAATTCTTAATTTATTTTTAAACAATAATAAGGCATGCTATCGGAAAAATCTGCCCACCTTTCTTGATCAAAAAAGGATGTAAGAAAGCTTAAATGTATTTAAATCAATATATTTCTGAAAAATAAAGACTGTAAAGATTACATATTAATAGGGAAAGAACAAAAAAAAAATTAGGTTTTACAGAAAATTCTGACTTTCTTTTTGATGCCTCCCATAAGTTTCTGGACAGAGTGATTTTTGTAAGTTTTAGCAGCGTGATTCCATTTTTTCTTCAAATCTGTAGCTGATTTTACTATTTTTCCACTTAATATCAATTTCTTTTTTATGATGGCCCAATATTTTTCAATAGTACATAATTCAGGGCAGTTTGAAGGGTTCATCTTTTTCGGAACCAACATCACTCCATTAATATCGTAAAACTTTTGAGCATCTTTTGAGTAATGTATTGTGGTTAAATCAGGCCAAAAGAATACTGAAGTACTTCTATGAGCTTTAATTAGTCGTTTTATACAAGAAAGACAACATTTCATGTATTCCGAAGATTTCATTTTGCCTAAACAAACATGAATTGGCAATTTTTTGAGCAAAGTGCCTGCCAAATCATCAATTTTTTCGAAAATTTATCAGTCATTACATACTTGTATTTATCACTCACATTTCCTCTTATTTTAGAAGCATAGTCGCACTGCCCAGGATTTGTTTAAAATCCATTTTAACATAAGTTTCGTCATCCATCAAAATGCACCCATTATGTTTTGTTAACAAGTTGTCATACAACTTTCAAGCTCGACTCTTTGCGGTTGAATTTTGTTTATCGTTGCGATTTGGCATTTTAACTACTTTAAAACTATGATATCCAAGTCTCTGTCGCCATTTTTGTACAAAAAAATTGGAAACCAATCAGGATGTTCTTCCAATGAAGTCTCCAACTGTTCGAGAGCTCTAGGATTTGCTGTGCGTTTTTTTCGACCACTTCCTTGTTTTCTCTGAATAGTTTTCTGTTCTGTAAACCGTTTAAGAACAGTATCTACAGTTCTTCTTGATATTTTTAATGATTTCGCTAACTTTCTAATTGATAAAGTTGGATTTTTTAGTGTTTGTCCACAATCAGAAATCTTTGTTTAGTTTGCTCGGTTGACATTTTGAAACTAAATAAAATTTTTAAATATTTTTTTCTGCCAAAATGTTCTATTATACAAACACTACCATACACAAAAAAATAATTTGAAAAAACAACCGTTAACTAGCTTTACCACACCCCAAAAGGTGGGCAGATTTTTCCAATAGCATGTCTTATTGCCTTTTTGCAGGTTTTTTTTTTTCTTTCTGTAAAGGTTCTCTTAGCAACCTTTGACATTTTATTTTAATTACCATAAATATAAATATATAATATAGTATAAATATAAAAAAATAAATATAAATCACAATGATAACAAGTAAAGCTTACTCTAAACTAGGCAAATTAAAGCGCACATTTAAATATTGAAATAGTCCACTGACTTGTTTTTTAAATTATATACAACATAAGTTTGACTCGAAGTAGAATTTTGTGCACCATTTCATGCAGAAAAAAAGAAATAAAAAAACTTGAGAAAGTGTAAAAGAGCTACAAAACTTGCACCAAGTCTCAAGTCACAAGTCAAATGAAGAATGTTTATCAATCCTAATTTTGAAAGTCTTGAATTGACGTCATTCAATATTTTAAAATTAAATCAAACATAAACAAATTTAAAAAATGTCATCCCAGCCCAATAACTTTATCATCAACTTTATATGGTTTATCATCATGTATTTGAGAAGAAGCACATAAAGAATGCAAACAATTCACTAAAAACAGTCACAGTGAAAACTTCTTTGGAAACAGAGTAGTGAGGCACTGAAACAATCTGATGGTTTGGTGGTTTTAAAAACAGTTTATGAATTTAAAAGCAAATATAATCAATTATTGTCAATCAGATTTTTAACTCTTTTACTGCTGTACCTTAGTTTATTTTTTATTGCTATAGTAGGATTCTAGAAATCTGTGGAAAGATTTGTATTATCTATGATGTAGAGAAATAAATATAACAATAAATACAATTTAATCTGAACTTAAAGGATTAAAAGGTATCTGTAAAAATGTTTAGTTAGTTTAAATGTTAAATGTTAGCTAAATGTTTAAAGTTGTTTAAAGTTTTCAAAGTTTTAAATTTTTATTAAAGTACTTGAATTTTTTTAAGTTTTATTGTGTTAAATGCACTTATATGTAACTTATAATAAATTTTTTGAAATCTAAAATTTGATATTTAAATTAAGCAAAGTTTTTTTGCCAGAGAAACCAAAAAAATTCTAGGTAAGGCTTAAGTTGGCGGTATCATACTAAGTTGATAGAGAAAATACAGGAGGCAAAAAAAAAAAATTTTAATCCAAGTTAACAAGATTAATCCAAGTTAACAAGATTCTATTGTATCAAAAGTTGCTATTCAATCTTCTTTTTTTCTTTTCATTAAAATTAATTTAATGAAAAGTTTTTTCTTTTCATTAAAATAAATATAATTTATTTTTTTTTCTGATTTTCTCCCATTTGATTCTTAAGCCTTTTTTTCTTTATATTTCTGTCTAACTTAGGGTTTCAATTTTAATACGTCAGATTTTAGTTGATTTATTTGTACTTAATGACTTTTTTATCATATGATCTGATGCTTACTTTATTTTTTGTTTATTTGTTCTCTATCTTGATTTTTCCTTTTCCAGTGAATCATAGCTGTCTTGACGATTAAAATCTAAAAATTTTAGTGTAGTTGAACTGTGGAGTTGTTTACTTTGCTAATGAAAGTCTTTTATTAAAAACTCTTAGGTAATAGCATTATTACTATGTTAATAATGATGTCATTATACAATAGTTATAATAATATCATAAAATTTAAGGATAATAATTGCTTTTTTTAAAGGAAATAATTTCATTTTAAACACATGTCATTAAGATTAATTATATTAGAAACATTATTTTAATTTTGGTTTTTAAAAAGATAATTGTCTTTCTAAAAGTTTTCAATTTTTCTTCCATCACATTTAAAAAAGTTTTTTACATAACTTTCTTACTTTTCAATTAAAAGTATTAAATTAAAAGTATAAAATTAAAAGTGCATATTCAATGTCATATGTTTTTGAAATGAAACAATGTTTTTAGCACATACACTCAAACAATTATCGACATTAGTTTTGTTATATATATATAAAACATATATTATATGATTTTAGTGTATGTTATTTTGTTTTATATTATATATGTAGTTTCAAAAGTTTTAAAAAAATAATATATATATATATATATATATATATATATATATATATATATATATATATATATATATATATATATATATATATATATATATATATATATATATATATATATATAGAGGTATATACAGAGGTATACACTGGTGGTTGTCTGATGGTATCAGGCAACGAAATTTTGTAAAGGATGACTAAAAATATTCTTTTGATGCAATAAAGTTGCCAGAAAGGACAATTGGTTTTTATTTGCAGTTCTAATTTTTTTTTTTAATTCAAGAATTTTATAAAAAGAAAAGTAGCTTAAATAATAATAAAACAATATTTTTAAAGTCACAGTGCTAATGTTTGTTTTATGCATTTTCTATTATTAATTAGAAAATAAGAAAACTGTGCGAACGTTTAAAAGTAATTTTAATAAATACTTCCTAAACATAAGCTAAAGTGTTTTATCGTTTAAACAAAAATACTACTTTATTTTATTTTATTTTTTTAAATTTTATTTAAGGATTTAGAGATAAAGTAAAAGAAACATGTTTGTCAAAAAAATACTTTGGTAGGCCTAGTTAAGAAGCATTACGCAGCTTGCATTTTTTGTATGAAAGCGATCAGTAGTTATGTTCAGCAATAGTTATGTTACCATAAATTACAATAAAAAAATATATATATCATTAATTTAAAAAACTTTCTAGTCATATTTATTGCAGTTTCAGGGTGCAACAAATCGATGAACTTGCATACCTTGGGCGCAACAAATCGATGAACTTGCATTTATTAAAAAACTTTAAGTTATGCGAGCATCACTAAAATTTAAAAGGCATTTTAAAAGACTCTAAAAGAAACCATGCTAAAACATGATTACTTTCTTCAATATCGTTACTTTATGTAAAATAACTCAGTACAGTATTGAAGAAAGTAATTATAGTTTACTATGGTTTTCAAAATTTTACTTAAATGAATTTTTACAACATTTACAATAGGACACCATTGTCGTTATAAAAATAGATTTAATAAACTTTTATATATAATATAATATAATTATATATAAAAATAGATTTAATAAACTTTTATATATAATATATATATATTAATATATATATATTAGTATATATATATTAATATATATATATATATATATATATATATATATATATATATATATATATATATATATATATATATATATATATATATATATATATTAATATATATATATATATATATATATATATATATATATATATATATATATATATATTATATATATATATATATATAATAATATTAATATATATATATATATATATATATATATATATATATATATATATATATATATATATGTATATATATATATAATAATATTTATATATATATATATATATATATATATTAATAATAATATATATATTAAAATATAAAAATATATATATATATATATATATATACATGTATGTGTGTGTGTATATATATATATATATATATATATATATATATATATATATATATATATATATATATACATATACATATATATATATATATATATATATATATATATATATATATATATATATATATATATATATATATATATATATATATATATATATATATATATATATATATATATATATATATATATATATATATATATATATATATATATATATATATATATATATATATATATATATATATATACATATAAATATATATATATATGTGTGTGTGTATATATATATATATATATATATATATATATATATATATATATATATATATATATATATATATATAAATATATATATATTTATATATATATATATATATATATATATATATATAAATATATATATATATATATATATATATATATATATATATATATATATATATATATATATATATATATATATATATATATATATATATAATATATATATATTTATATATATATATATATATATATATATATATATATATATATATATATATATATATATATATATATATATATATATATATATATATATATATATATATATATATATATATATATATATAGAGAGAGAGAGAGAGAGAGAGAGAGAGAGTGAGAGAGAGAGAGAGAGAGAGAGAGAGAGAGAGATGTAAGTCGTTTTTTTGGTTCTTGTTTTTTTGCCAAAAAAAACGTTTTTTTTGCCAAAAAAAACGTTTTTTTGCCAAAAAAAAACCCAAGGACTTTGTTTTTTAGCTTTTTTGTTTTGTTTTTTTTGCGTTTTTGCCTTAAAAACTACTATTTTTGCATTTTAAACACTGAAATGGTTTTAAAATTTATTTTTGGTAATATTTATTAAATACTTGTTTTAATACTTCCATTTACCATATTTTTAGTAATGTCTCAGTTTAGCAATTGTTCAATTATTCAAAAAAAAAAAAAAATTTGAAAAAGCAGCATTAATTAGAAAAACAATTTTTTTTTTTAAATAATTTTTAATAATAATTCTTATAAGTAAAGACAAAGAAGTAAATTTTTATAAGTAAAGGCCATGAATTGTATCTTTTTTAATATTGAACTGTTCTAAGAATTTATTATATGAATGAAGTAACACTGCATCGCAAAATAAGTCAGATCCAGGAATTTTTGGTGTGGGTGTGAAGGGGAATCGGGGCTTGTTAAAAATTTAGTATATTTTGTATCACATTTTTGCCTACTAAAAAAAATTAAAAAAATTTAAAGATATTTTATAAATTTATGGATTCTGGTGCGGGGTGGTAGGTTCATACCTCTTATTTCCCCTGGATCTGTCACTGGTTTTAAAATTACAAAATTATTTTTCAACTTCTTCAACTTCATTAAATTTTTCATTAATCCATAATTTTTTTTTGAATAATAATAAATGTATTATTTAATGGAATGAATCAGAATTATCTAAATAAATATTTTTATTATATGAAAGAAATATATTTATTATATAAAACACTGCTTTGCAAAATAAAAAAAGGTAATCATTTTTGCGTTTAATATAAGGAAAATAAATAATTTTTTAGAGGCAAAAATCTTGAAATTTTTTAAAAAATATATAACTGTTTAGCCATTTTCCTAATTAAAAAGACAAATATTTTTATACCATTTTAGCTAAACACTTTGTTTACACAAAATTAGTAAACAAATATACCATAAGAGTTTAAAAAAAATCCAAAAAAACCTACACCCAAACCAAAAAAACACCAAAAAACGCCAAAAAATATATATATAAATATATATATATATATATATATATATATATATATATATATATATATATATATATATATATATATATATATATATATATATTATATATATATATATATATATATATATATATATATATGTATATATTAATAACCTATTTTAAATATAAATTTTCTTCAAATAGACGGATCAATTGATGCAGAACGCAGTATTGTCACAGATCTTGCAAGTCAAATGGATCCATCAGGTTCTAAGAATTTTTATTTTTTATAATATGACTTTCTTGACATTGTTAAATTATTTTTTTTTATTTTTTTACCTTATAGGAAAACGCACTATTTTTGTTATGACAAAAGTAGATGTAGCTGAAGCCAACCAAACAGATCCTACAAGGGTATACCTTTGATGTTTTAAGTTGGTCAACACCAACAGTAGTTTAATTTTATATGGTTAAAAGGCATTGTAGTTTGTGTAAAATAATTTATATATGGATATATTCTATTTATTTCTATTTCAATCAATGATAACACTGGTTTACAAAAAAAATATTTGTCCGGTGTTTTTGGTTGCTATAGGTGATAATAACTAAGTTTCAATAAAGATGATGATAACTAACATTTTAATTCTAACATTTTATAATTTTCCTACAGTGATTAGACCAGTTCAGATTACAAAACTGTTCATCCAGTCCTATGTAGTTTTGTTTACTATGAGGCCTAAATATTACACTAACCTTTGTAGAAAATAAATGCAGTTCGCCTGAAGTCCATTGATTGCTTCATATTTTCTGTTTGCTGCTATGGAACTAAATATTCTCATTAAAAGTGTGTTTTCTTAAATTTTCTTACTGGGTTTCACATCTCTTAAGCATCCATCAGTAGTTGCCCATCATTCCGGGCTTACAAGAAAAATTTGAAATTATTACTCATGCAAACCAAGAATGTTTAGTAATCAAAAAATGGTAATAGATTTCTAAATGCATGCGTAAAAATAAGTTTCTCCTAAAAAACTATAAAATAAGTGAGCTCAAACAATAGTTACATTAAATCCCCCCTTTTAATATTTTTTTAAAAAGCAGAATTAATCAATTTTAAAGAATTCTTTTTATAATAGTGTCAGCATATTTTACAAATGTGTGAAAATTTACAATAATTAAGACTTTCTGTAAATTAATTTTTGGTATAAATTGAATATTTCCTAAGTATTTATTAATTTGATCATTTATACAGGGTGGCCCAAAAGTCGCGCTACCATTTAAAAACTGAATAACTTTTTTATTTCTTTATGAAATGGAATAATGTTTCTGTATATGACAATATAACATTGGGAAATTCTTTTGGTCTAATTATGGAAGATGGCGTCATGCAAATGACCTCCATTTGCCGCTTCGCAAGTGCGCGCCCTTTCCAGGGCATTTCCCATGACACGGATCAGCGTGTCCGGTTCCAGTGCTCGAATTTCTGTTCAAATGTTTTCCGTCAGCTCCTGGATATTGCAGGGTTTAGTACTGTAAACACGATTCTTTAGGTAGCCCCAAAGAAAAAAATCTGAAACGGTTAGATCGGGCAAATTTGCTGGCCAGTTGAAATCAGCATTTCTTGAAATTAATCGTTCTCCAAACATGTCCCTCAAGAGCTGCATAGTCTGTCTCGCAGTATGGGCAGTCGCTCCATCTTGCTGCCACCAAACCTCCAGTGTGTCCTGAACAGCTGAACGAACAAATTTCTCTAACATTTCGCGGTATCAGGCCCCATTCACCATTACTGCATTGCCTTTCTCATCCTTGAAGAAGTGTGGGCCGATTATTTTTTCTGAAGTTACACCACACCAAACCGTGACTCTGAGTGGGTGCAGTTGACGCTGATAGATGGCTTTTGGGTTTTTGGTACCTCAAAATCTGATGTTTTGTTTATTGACAAAGCCATTCAGGTGAACGTGGGCATCATCACCCATGATTAATTTGTAAAGAAATTCAGTGTCATCTCTTGCCATCTCTTGAAAATGAACTGCATAATCCCGTCGTCGCTGGTAATCTATCAGCTTTATCTCTTGGACTAATTGCATCTTGTACGGGTACATGTGTAAATCCTTTTGTAGTTGCTGTAAGGACGTCCTGGGGATACCAAGCTCGCGGGAACGGCGTCGAGTAAACGTTGCTGCATCTTGTTCAATGCTTTGCTCAACGCGAGAGCTGTTTTCCGGGGTTCGCATGTAATGTGGTCTCCCGACTCGTGGCAAGTCGACCACAGATCCCTTTTTTTGGAAACAATGAATTAGACAGATGATCGCCGATTTAAAGGGCGGATTCCTCACTTGATAATAACGCATGTATGCTCTCTGTGTGAGTACAATAGACCGCCGACTTTCAAAATAAAATTCTACGATTTTGGTTCTTTGGGCTGTGCTGAATTTCTCCATAACAAATCTCCAAGGGTTGAAGTGTTAATATCTGAAAGAAAAAAAAAAAAAAATTATTAGGAAGATTGTTATGAATTTTTCCAATGGTAGCGCGACTTTTGGGCCACCCTGTATTCGATGAGTCTTTAATAAAGAACCACAGTTTTAAATGAAAATAAATTGATTATAAATAAGTGATTTTCTACTACTTTATAATTGCTCTGATCTTTTAAGAACATTGAGCAGCAAAAGATGAACTTTGTATTAACTTAAAATAATAATGTTTTTTTCCAATTTAAAAAAACTCGCCCACCAGTGCAAATGAAAATTTGGTCTTAGTTGTCTAAAAATGCAAAAAATTCAAGTTTTTGCATTTATAGTAGAGGCACTTAACAAAATTTCAAAAATACCATTTTTTTGAAGCTTTTGAAGCTTGACCTATCTACTTTTAGATTATATTTTTTTTTTAGTAAAAATGATGAGAAGAGTTGATCTTAACCATTTGCAATCATGTGTATATTAAGAGGTGGGGGTGGGGATGGGGTCTTTAATTATTTTTTTAATGTACTTTAAATATATAACATTTTTGTAATTGTACATTTTTTATTTAAAGAAAGACTATTTTATGGTTTTTATTCAAGATTTTTTATCAGTTGTTTTAAATTTTGAACAATGATAAGCTACAACCATTAAGTTTGCTTCTCCGTCTTCTTTTGTTTCTAAACATTTCAATGGTTTGTTGAGAGAAATTTTGTTAAGTGACCCTGTCTCTACTATAAATGCAAAAACTTTTTTGCTTTTTTAGACAGCTGGGACCAAATTTTTATCTGTACTGGTGGGGAAATTTTTTTTGATTTGGGAAAAAGTATTATTATTTAAGTTAATACAAGCAAAAGTTCATCACTATGCCATTTCCAAAAAAATGAGTTGTGCTTTTTAGGAAAAAAAAAAAAAGAAGCAAAAAAGTTATGAAAACACATATTAAACTCCAAAACTATTTTTTTAATTTATTTTAAAATACTTTTAACCAAAAAAGTTATTTAAAAAAATCATTTTATCATACCATAGCATGGTTTTAAAGTTGTAAGGATTGTATAAACATGTTTTGACGCTTATTTACAGTCCTGTTGTGTAGTCTTAAAAATCATACGGTAATTGAAATCTATAATTGAAAACTTTAATAATGTTTTATTGCATTTTTTTAACTTATTATATATGGTTGTTAATAATTATTTATACTTTTTTCTTACATCATTGATTGTGTCTTTATACTTGTTGTTTTTAAGTATTGGATTTTCATTACGATTGTTACGACAAAAAAAAAAACACAAAAAAACTTGTAAAACTTAAAGTAAAAACTATGAAACTCAGCATATAATAACATCAATATGTGCTAAATACACACACCAAAGTATTTTCTTTTACCATGCTGTTTGCTGCATTAAGTCTGACAAAGTTGTTTTGTTCAAAAGTGGTAAAAAGTAAGCGTTACGACGGTCACGCTACTTAGAGTTGATTTTTGAAAAAAGTTGAAGACTTTAATGCTGTAACTTTTAAATACTAAATTATATAACAGTATTTCATATTTCTGGAAAGTTTAAAGTCATTTTCTTTTTTTGTTTATTTTTAATAACTTAAAGAGTATCAAATGTTACGACTGCCACTCTCGCGGAATTGGCGATATATATATATATATATATATATATATATATATATATATATATATATATATATATATATATATATATATATATATATATATATATATATATAATATAATATAATATATATATAAAATATATATATATATTTATATATATATATATTTATATATATATTTATATATATATATATATATATATATATATATATATATATATATATATATATATATATATATATATATATATATATATATATATATATATATATATATATATATATATATATTTGTTTTTTTTATTTTAATGTTTTGGTTGCAAATTTGCAGCAAGGTATCATTTTTTCAAATAGAAGTTAAAAATTGATAGCAATAAAGAAACAATATTAAAGGTTGGTTACAGGCAAGTTTCGGAACTGGCAAATAGTCAATTGATATTTTCATTTTGATAATAAAAACTTAATAATTTATTTTATAAAAAATAAAAAAATAAAATATAATCAATATATAAAAACTTAATGTTGCACTAAAACCCTGCTATAAGTACTCAAAGGTTTTTAATTAGCGAATGAGTTGGTAGCCATAACTACCTATAAAACAGTATATTTTATGAAAACTTTTACAATTCCAAACATTTTTAAAATAAGAAAATTTAGGAATAACAAATGAGGTGCAATCAGCTCTTGCCATACAACAACTAATTTTACTGTTTATTATATTTTTTAACTTTTAAGTTGATGTAAGTAGTCAATATTTCTCTTGCCAACGTCTTTTTTTTGGGTTTGATTTAGCTAACAGGTACTAAACCTAAAGATATGTTTTTTAGATTAAGAAGATTTTATCAGGAAAGTTGTTTCCAATGAAAGCTATGGGGTATTTTGCTGTTGTAACAGGAACTGGTAAAATTATTTTTTATTTTTTAAAATAAATTTTTTAAACAGAAAAAAAAAATATTTTCCTTTCTTATTTCCTCTCCTTTTTTCTCTAGAAAATAAAAATCAAATCAAAATAAATTTTCTCTTGATTTTCATTTATATAGCATTTAAATTTTTCATTTATATAACTATTAATTTTTTTCATTTATATAACTATTTAAAGCATTTGAATTTTTCATTTATATAACTATTGAATTTTTTCATTTATATAAATATTACATTTTTTCATTTATATAACTATTATTATAGTTTATGATAATAAAATATTTAAATATAATATATATACATGAGTTTATGATAATATAATAAATCATGCTTTACAAAAGTGTGCATGGTAGTGTGCAAAAGTGACCAAGCAAGAACATAAATCAAATTTTTAATGAAAAGTCTAATACTACTGTAATCAAAAAGTAAGGTGAAATTGTCATTTAAAACTCCTGGGCATGATGAGGTCAGGTAATTTTTTTCCTAGGTTGGTAGGACTGTCTTTAACACTTGCCAAACGTCTGTTTGTCAAAAGGTTTAATTATCTCCGAGTTACACATGTTTTTGTAAACAACCAAAAGTAAATTTTTTGATTTCTACAATGGATGATTTTGTTGAGCAAAAAACTTGCATCAAATTTTCTTTGTGAAACAAATACTGTTGTGTGGAAACGTTGAAAATGTAGTGGAAGGCCTTTGGTGACCAAACTATGGCATAAAAAAACCTTTATAAGTGGTGCAATTAGTTCAAAGAGGGCAGAGAACGCTTTAAAAACAAACTGTGCTCTGGACGACCATCAACGTCTACTGACAAGAGACTCTTTCAAAAAATTAAAGATTTGGTGCTTGAAAATTGTACAATGACATTTAGAGAACTCGCTGATAATGTTGGAATATCATTTGGCTCATCCCAAACCATTTCAAAGAATGTTTTGTGTCTCAAATGTGCCAAAATCAATCAATTTTTTTAATAAAAAGCATTGCATTGATGTGTGTGAAACTTTGTTGTCTGACTATCAGGACCACTTCAAATACATTATTACTGGAGACGAGACTTGGATTTACGCATACGACTCTGAAACCATATATATCAAATCCAAAATATAGCATGCAATTTAAAATAGTAAACAAACTATTCTATCGTAGACATCTAGCTTAGAGTTACGTAAAAAATTTAAAATTACTTTTATATTTTAATGTAAGGGTATAAGATTGTGTTGGTACAGAGTGTGCATTATCTATTTATTAGATCCTATCTTCCATTATTTTTTTGTAATCAATTAAAAAAAAACAAAAAACTTCCACTCTCACTGTCTGTTTCTGTCAGTTAACCAGCAGAAATCTTATTTATTAGTATCAGGCTGGTTGCAGCCTTAGCCATTATTTAAATAGGAAGCTTTTATTGCTTTTTTACCATTAAGCAATACAGATTTTTTTATCTCTTACACGGTTGTTTTTTTAAGTGGGAGCAATTCAACAACTGAAATATTGTTCAATAACCCCTTAATTTTGCTTTCTGAAAATTATTATTTTATAAGCCTCCATTATTATAACCACACCATTATTCTTCGCTATTAAATAGTATCAAAGTTAGTTTTTATTAAGTACTATTGCAGCAGTAACAGATATATATCTGTATTTGTTTGTTATCTGTAAATTATCAAATCTGTACAGTACAGCTACAGTTGCCATCTCCAAATGAATACTAATTCATTTGGAGGTAGCGACCCTAGCTGTACTGTACAGATTTAATAATATTAAGAAAACTCTAATGAAAAAGTTTTAGTTTTCAAAAATTTTTGTTTTAAAACATCAATTTACAAAAGTTAAAACTAATAAAAGTTATTCACACTCCTTGCACGCAAATTCAATTGTTTTGTGATAATTGATAATACAATTAATACACAATCAGTTAGAACACTTTTCACATGTAACCCTTTTGTTGCTTGTAGCTTTGTTTCAAATGCTTCTGCAGGAAATAAAAAAGATGATTGAAATGGTTGGGATTACATTTTTGTTGTTTTGTTATTTTGTTTTGCTTTATTTCATAGACCATTTTCAGGATTTCTTAAGTTTTAAAAGCTTTTTTTCTTCTTTTTTTTTAAACTTTTGTTCTTGCCCAAATTTTTTTTTTCTTTTTTCTAATAACTTTTTTGGCTTCATTTTCAACTAAATTTCTTTTATAGCAGCTTGTGTAGCTTTATCCTGAGCCATTGTAGAAAGTTCAGTCATATTATAACTTGTTGTTCTTTTAATTATTGCTCCCTATTCTTTACTACCGGAAAAAGTCTCTTAATCTCTAAGCACACTGAGCACTGATTTATTTTTATCAAAAGATACTTGTTTAATGGCATTTTGATGCTATCAAAGATTTCTTTGATAATAAAGTTCTTTGACTTCTTTTGTTGAAAGTCTATTCATAGAGTTTTTTGATTTTATTCTATTGGGCTTATCGGATGAAACTTGTGAATCTGTAGACTTTCCAGAAAAACAATTCTCAAATTTATCATTTGTTATATCTTAAAAAATAGCCCTGATTGCAGTTTTATTTGGAGTTATTTTTGAATGATGAGTGGAAATATACCTGTATTTTCAAAACTACGAAGTAGTTTTGAAAATACAGGTATATTTCCACTTATAATAAATTGAAAAAAATTTAGTTTTGTAGTTTTGAAAATACAGGTATATTTTTTTTTTGAACTAAATTGAAAAAAATTATTCTATGAAATTTTTGCTTTCCATCCAACCTGATTTGTTGGTAGAATAATAAACATCAGAAGCACCACCTTGAAACCAAGCTTTCATCTTATTTTTGACATTTTAAATGACTTGATGAGGTAGGAAATTTTTAAAAGCATCGCAACACAGGCCTTTTTGTAAGAGGCGTGCGATCGCACGCTTTATATGACCAACCATATAGTTCTTTGTTTTAACAACTTGACCACAGCTCATTTTAAGTTTTGATAATTAGCGCATTTAAAAATTGTGCTAAAAAAAACAAAGCAATTTAAAATAAACAATCCATAAACTGAAAAGAGAATAAAATCCTTAAAATAATATACATAACAAAAATTAACCAAAAAAAGTAAAATATTTAAAGAATGATAAAATATATGAAGGAAAAACCAGAAAAAAAAATTAAAACATTAATTTAAACTTAATTATAAGCAAAAGTGAAAAAAAATCACAGCTCTAATAATCTTTATCATTCCTTCCCATGAATAAGTAAGCTAATACAAGGGCGCATCCATAGTGAGGAAAAGGGTCACAAAATTCAATAAAATTTTGTGGTGCAAATTTAAAATTTTATTAAAAAGTTAATAGGATACAGGGTGCAACAAATCGACAAATGTGCGCTTATTTTTTTAAGACAGACAGAAAAAAAAACATCACGTTTCTTTAATTTTGCTTATGCCGTTTGAATAATATTTTTCAAAACGAACGTAATACTTCAGCAATTTTTTCAAAATAATTTTGTGATCAATAGTTTTTTAATTACAAAAAACACATATTCAAAATGAAAAACAATTAATTTTAGAGACTTTTTCAAAAAAATGCCAAAACATAATTACTTTTTTCAATAGCGTCACTTTTAAGTAAAATAACTAATTACACTATAGAAGAAAGTAATTATGTTTTAGCATGGATTTTGCATGCGCTCACATATGTGCCATAATTTTACTTAAAACAAATGCTTTTGCAAAAAATTTAAAAGAAATTGTCCTTAAACAATTCGATTGCTTTCTTTTATTGAAGAAAGCCATAATGGTTTCTTTTATGTATTTAGCAATTACATTAAATGTTTAAAGCAAATGATTTCATTATAAATAAAATTGTGCATGTTTTTTTTTTTATAATTTTCTAATTTTCCATAAAGTGAAATAATGTTTATTTGCATATTAAATACAATTTTAAAAGTTTTTTTTATTGTGTATTTCTCATTAATTTGCGCGCGCTTTGCAAATGTGTAAAAAAAAGTTAAAAATAACAATTTAATAAATTTACCAAGCATCTTTGATATATTTGAAAACTTATTAGCTAGAATAAAAATTATTTGAACATTGTTTGACATCTCTTAAATTAGAGGTTTGTCAATAAATAAAGATATGGAAGTCAACATTTATTTAAAAAAAAAATGATACGTCACGCCCTCGGATAAAAATTAGTTGGCTATTGCGGTTGTTTCAAGATTATTGTAATTCTTTTTTTAAATAATTTCTTTATTAAAAACTATATTTCCATGATGAAATGGTTTGTAATTATTTTTTGATAGCTTTTGTACTCATTTTGCCTTAAACTATAATCTGAATATTTTTTTCAACAATTGCTTTTAATTAGTTGCATTAAAGTACTCAGGAAATTTTGTTGCAGTTTAATTGTAATTATTGAATCAATTAAATTAAATTGCATTAAAAAATTGCATTTTTATTTGCTTTGTTTTTTTTAGAGCTTTTTTTAAATGCGTTAATTATCAAAACTTCTAAAGAGTCATGGACAAGTTGTTAAAACACAGAACTATATGCGTGGTCATATAAAGCGTCTGATTGCAGGCCTCTTACAAGAAGGCCTGCAACAAGTTAAAGTTGTAGTAATTTGTTTGGGCAAGTTGTTTTGGATTTTTTTATTCTTTTTTGACAAACAATGTTGACTTTACTTTTATAAAAATCAATCCATTTTCATCACAGTTAAACACATGAAACGGCTTTTCATTTAAATTATGTTTATGATAAACAGTGTCAACTTGGCTGAACCATTCATCAATAATTGCCAGTTATTCCACTTTCATCACAGTTAAACACATGAAACGGCTTTTCATTTAAATTATGTTTATGATAAACAGTGTCAACTTGGCTGAACCATTCATCAACAATGCCAGTTATGCTTCCTTCATCTTGCTTTCCTGATTCATATAATTTGCAATCTTTTAAGTTGTCTATCAATTGTTATCTTGCTTTACAATCTTCATCTTTTCTCTTCCAGTAACTTCCAACTCTAATTAGTGGTTGCTTTCAGCCTTGTTGGAAGTGAAGATGTTTAAAAAAAAAAAAAAAGTTGCAAAGACACCATTCTTACAGCTTGCATGCTAGTAGCCTTTTTTTCACAAATGTTTTTCACACACTTTCTCATGAAACTATTGTACCACTTTTGAGTAAGTTTACCAGTCTTGAATAAATGAGTTTGTTTAGATTCCTTTTAATAGTTTTTTACCACAGTTTAAATATCATTTCTTTTTAAGCTGAAGCCAGTGTTACTTATAAACTGCACAAGTTCAACTATAAGCCTCTCCGTTACTTGGTTTATTGCTCTTAGCCTACCAACACCATCACAACCAACACCATCAACTCTATTTATTCCTTTTAATCAGAAAAAAATGTTTTAGGAATGTTATATCATAAAGCGGCTTCTGAATGACATCTTATTATTGATAGCCTCACTACTAAGTTTAATTTTTCTTTCGCAATCTTAATTTGTTTAAATTTTTGATATTTTTTGTTAACAAATGTTAATTTAAACAAGGCGTTTAGAAATTCAATAAAAAAATTAAAAGCGTTTATGAGTTTTTAAGTTAATGTCGTTAAAATACTAATGTTAAAAAATGTTGCTAATTACTTGCATGTAAAAATGCCATGGTTTTAAAAAGTTTTGTACTTGCAATTGAAAAATTTTACGGTATCAATATATATTTTAAAAATATTTTTTCATTTTCTCATTACCCTTGTGTTCTAGTTTAATAATCAGTTTTCCTTTTAAAAAACCCTCAAAAATAAAAGATGTAACAATTAGTGAACTAAAGCTGTTCAGAAGTAGGGACTGTTCCGAATAAGGGAAATCTATGGTATGTTATTTTCTGGAATTATTGTTATATGGTGATAGTAGGAAAGCAAATTTAAGAATTTGAAGAAATAGTTTTTGCTTGTTTTTTATGTAATTTATTTTATTCTTGCTTTGTTTATCAATAATAATTAATATATAAACTAAAAAACTTACAAATGCTGTAAGTTTTTTAGTTTACATACTTGACAAGCGAGTAAAAATGTGTAGTTACTACTCATTTTTTTCAGGTAATAACAACGAAAGCATTGATTACATAAAACAGTGTGAAGAAGATTTTTTTAGAAGCTCTAAATTATTTAAGTATGTTTTTAAACAAATTATGTTTCCCAGTGAATCATGTTTTTTGACACTCTGTAATGAAATCAGACTTAATGTGCAGTTAATGAATTTTATTAAAATTAGAAGAAAATATATTTAAAATTTTTTTTTAGTTTTTCACCACTTTTATTTTTAAGATAATATAATATTCTATTAGATTGATATAATAATTTAATACACTGTTATCAATTGTTATTTGATAATTTTCAGTAAACTTATGTAGTAACAAAAAATAAAGTGCTTTTTTTTATCTAGCACTCATTAAAATTGATTTTTTACGATTGTTTGCGATGCATTTAAAAATATTTTCATTAAGAGTAAAATCATAAATAATAATTTATTTAATTGTTTTTTAATTTTTTTTTTTTTTAAATCAGGGAACATCTCTAAAAAGAACTTAATAAATAAAAATTTCAATGGAGAACTGTAAAAAGATTTTAAAGAAGAACTTAAAATGCCTTTAACTACTGGCATAAAATTTCTCAGACATATATCGAATATATTAGCGAATATATGTATTAAAATTACTAAAAGAATTTTTTTTCTTTTAGCATTAAGTTTGGTTTCATTGCTAAGAGTCACATTTTTGTTATTACGAATTTTTGTTTTTTATTTATATGGAAAATATATTTTTTCCATTTATTTAAGGTCTGGTGTTCTGAAAGCCAGCCAAATGACCACTCAAAATCTAAGTTTTGCTGTGGCTAATTGTTTTTGGCACATGGTTCGTGAATCTATAGAGCAACAGTCCGATACATTCAAAGCAAGGAAATTTAACTTGGAAACTGAATGGAAGAATAATTTTCCCACTGTTCGAGAACTTGACAGGGTTAAATATTTATAAATTTTATAATTTTATAAAAAATTGTTTACATTTAAAAAAATCTATAAATGAATTACAAATAGCAAGTAAAAATTAAAAATAGTCGTTTTTAGGTATTTGCAAGTATTAAAACAAATGTATTTCCTTATGTATTCAAAATGAATGTTTATCTTCAAATAGTCTATCACTAAAATTTAAATTTGTTTTTATGCAACTAAGTAGTTAAATTTAAGGTCATTATCACTTGAATTTAAGAATTGCTCTTTCAGTAATCTTTTAAGTAAGTTAATTTATGTTGTAGAAAAAGATTGTTGTGTATATATATATATATATGTATGTATACGAATGTATATATATATATATATATATATATATATATATATATATATATATATATATATATATATATATATATATATATATATATATATATATATATATATATATATATATATATATATATATATATATATATATATATATATATATATATATATGGTTGTTTTTAGTTTTTCCATGGTCAGGTCAGTTTTGTTATATTTTTTTTAAAGTTTTTTTTGTTATTATTTGATAGACTGCCTGCATCAATAAAACCATCAGTCGATGTAGCGGCACTTCCTTGCAGCATCAAGTTATAAGGTAGTCAATATAGTAGCACACCCTTGTAGCAGCAAAAATAATCGATGTAGCAACACTCCCTTATAGTAGCTGCTATAAGATAGTCAATGTAGCAGCATTCCCTTGTAGCATCAGGCAACATAAGATAGTTGATGTAGCAACACTCTGCGCATGTTTTATAGGAAAAAAACATTCAAAATGTATTTATTTATAAAATAAAAAAAATTCAGTAAGTTTTTAAAAATCTTCAGAATGTTTTTGCGACTACAAATGACTTTTTTTAAAAAAAAAGTTAGGGAGTAACAAATAAAAAAATTACGTTAATTTGTTTAATATATATATATATATATATATATATATATATATATATATATATATATATATATATATATATATATATATATATATATATATATATATATATATATATATATATATATTTAAGGTCACATCTCTAATATATATATATATATATATATTAGAGATGTGCCGGAACCAGTTTATGCCGAGTCTCCGATTCCGGGTACCCGGCTGAAAAAACCAGGTCCGAGTCCGGGTACTCGGCACCGAGTCCATTTTTTAAAAGTTGGAATAAAAACTTGTGAAATCTCTAGCGCTGAACTATTCACACAAAATACGCTTATTACGCTAATTAACCAAAAGTTATGTGGCGGAAGTACCATTTAGCAAAACCCCGCAATGCAAGGTAAGGGGCCTGAGTTGTCGGGCCTAACTTTTTTCAAAAGTTGTACAACAGTTTTTTAATAACTACATTTAGTTTAAAATTATTATCTTTCCTGGTGGAGCGGGCCTAAATAATATTTTGTTATAATTATTATCGAAACTAAAATATGAAAAATGTGTATAATATTTACCTAATATCTCTACTTTTATGATTTTTTCTTGATACGAATGAAAAGTGGTATCAGCGTTCGAAATCATTATAAGCGTTTCATTCAAAACTAAATTGCTAAAAATTATCTTGTGTTCTAACAGAATAAAAAGAAGCTATTCTAAAACTTTTTTTCCCATTCTTTTTATTCGTATTCTCGAATTATTTCATTTAGCTTTACAGTTTTTGTATCCGTATAAATTTTTTTGCAAAAATGTATTAAAAAATATTTTAAGTGAGATTGTTTTAAGTTAATAGAACTTTGTGGTTATCAACTACATAACATTCTTAAACTTATATCAAGAAGTTTGATGGTTAAAGTTTAAATTTAAGGAAAAATCAATTTGAAGATACCCGGTACCGGGTACTGCAACAAAATGGCCGATACTGGGTACCCGGTAAAACAGCCAATTTGCCGGGTCCCCGGGTCCGAACCGGGTACCCGGCACATCACTAATATATATATATATATATATATATATATATATATATATATATATATATATATATATATATATATATATATGTATATATATATATATATATATATATATATATATATATATATATATATATATATATATATATATATATATATGTATATATATATATATAGATGGTGTTTTAAAGTCACTGTGTTAAAAAAATTGTTATATTCTTAACTTAAGTTATTGTTTTTAATGAAAATGATTAAAAATATATATATTAGCACAAAATAGCTATAGCAAAATTAGGCATTAAAAAAAAGGCTTTTTAATGTTACCACCAAACAACAATTTTTTTAGCCTAATAGTTTAGATTTCCAATTCCTTCATAACTGTGAATAATGATTAACAAACTTATAAGTCTTGAAATCATAGAATATCTGAAAGTAATGAGAAGATATAAGTAAGGTTAAATTTTAGTTAAAATACAAATATTTGCACTTATATGATAGACCCAAGAAGTATAAATATTAGTAACTTTGAAAAAAAAAAGAAAAGAAACATGTGTAAACTTTAAACAAATCATATTTTACAAACAAATATTTACTTAATTACACATGAAAACATGCTTATACTTATTATAAACTATTAACAACATTTGAAAATAAATTTGTGTACATTTTTTTACCACACACAGCTATACTGAGTTGCAGGAAAAAGTAATAAAAAGATTTGGTTTACCAAATCTTTTAAATACTTTAACGTTTTAACTTTTCATAGTTTTTTAAGACTTCCTAAGTAAATAGAAAACTATAATGCACCCTGGTCTAATGTTATGATTGTTACCAAGGTTGCTTACATCTTCAAGTAAGGCATCATATTGCATGCTTCTCAGTTTGCTTTGGTTATTTCTATAAAAGCAAGACACTGCTCTTCAATTTCAACATATTTTTTGGCTTACTGAAGGAATTGTAAAACTGAGATAATTTAGCATGGTTTCTAACCAATGATGCATGTTAAGGTTTGTGCACCAATTATGTCATCTCATGGAAAAGAAAATGAACAAACCGTTGGATCTAAGTTTGCTGACATACTCAATATAACTTCCAAAAAACAGTAAATAAAGCAAAATATAAACAGGCATTTTAAATTTTAATATATTTAAAAAAATTGATATTGGAATTATGGTAATTATAACTTTCTGTAAATCTTGTAAAGCTTGCGGAAATAGTGGAAATAAGCAAAACCATTATGGCAACATAAAAAAGGTGTTTCATCAAATCTGCCTAACCATGATGTTCTAATTTAAGTATTAATTAATTTCTTCTTGCCAAGCAGCATTTTTTTAATTGCCGTCAAAATGCATTTTTTGCATTTTGAGCATACTTAATTTCAAAGCTAGCTAGCCTAGTTCTAATCATTTCAGTATCAATTATTTTTAGGTTGATAGTATTATTAACTTATTTGAGCCTAATATCATCCATTTTAATTTCCCTGTTATAAATAAACATATTAACAGTAGTATTACTACTGTGGTAACAAATAAACGTAAAAGAATCATTAAAAATTATGATCTTTTCTATAAAAATTATTTACTATTATTTTAAGTGAACAGAATAAAATAAACAACTTTGATAAATTGCTAATAAAACAAAAGCACAATGTTGAAGTCTTATCTATAAAACAATTTTATTTACCTATAAAACAATTTTTTATTCTATTGTATTTTTATAAATAAAAAAACAAAATAAAAATTTTATTTAATTGAAGATCTATATTATTCAACAATCTTAACAAGTTAACAACTTTATATTTTTATGTTATATGCATATATGTGTGTGTTATATATAACACACATATATATATGTATATATACACATTTTGTTTTCTTTTTTTTTTTTCTCTCTTGTAATTCAAACAATCAAACTGCGTTGCACCTGTTTTCAGGCCTTCTCAGGAGACGCGTGCGGTTGCACGCCTTGAATGACCACGCATATATATTTTTTTGTTGATAACATGGCCACAATTTTTTTTGCATTTATTAAAAATGACGCATCTTAAAAACGCGCTGAAAAAACAAAATTAATTGCTCATCTTTTTTTAATTATTATTAATAATTCATTATTATAGTTATTGATGAGAAAATAGAAACATTAATATAACATATATAGGCATTTCCATTTTTAACTTACGTTACACGCGCAATAACTTTACCAAATATTAGCTTATTTAAAATTTTAAATTAAACTTTTAGCAATTTTGTATAAAAGCTGTTAGTCTAATAAATAAAATAAGCTTAAAAGTTTTGTGTTCGGCCGAAAGAAAGCAAACTTATTACTAAAAATGCCACTTGCACTGATGTTACACAGAAAACAAGGTAAAAAAACAAATTCAACTTATAGGTCTCATTTCTGCGAATCAGTAAATCAGTTTGTATTAGAAACTTTTACAAAATGCAGATAATTCTATATCAATTTAAAATTTTTATAAAAACTTTTTTTAGATAAACTTGTTTTTTTGATACTGTATTTTTTACTTAAATTACATCACTTACATTATCGAGCGGTTAATATGATTTTTTTTTTTATCTATTATTAAGAGTTAGAGTTACGTAACAAAAGAATTGCATAAGTATTGAACTCATTCATTAAAAATAATTAACAAAGAAATTTTTTAAAAACTGGTGGAACTCTTCCTGAGTGAATTTTCATAACTTTCATGAAAGTTATCAAACCGGAAATAATTTTTTCGCAAGACCAAGAGTAACTTCAGAAAAATATTTTAGTTTTACATCTTTATTATTACTTAATTGAGTAATTGGTTTGTTGAAGTTTCTATTTACACTTCTTACGTTTATGCGTATTGCTTTATTTTTATAAGATTGAGTTTTTATAATGCTGCTAAGCAGAGCCGGCGCGAGTAGAGGTCACGTGGGTGGGGGGGTGCCATAACAACTTTTGCCGTCTTAAAAATAAAAAAAAAATATAAAAAAAAAAGGTCCTCGTTTTTTAAAATTTACCGACTGCCATAACGACATTTGCCGACTGACTTAATCGACTAACCTATCGACA